CTCTCAGCCTCCTTTTCTCCAAACTAAGTCAGTGCTGGATAAGCCCTGGAGCATGAGCAGCAGGACAAGGCTCCTACCGCAGGACAGACATGACCGAATTGATATGTGTCCTGGCCAGGGTCTAATGTGGGCGGTTGCACTCAGCCCCCTCACTCTCCCCGCAATCTCAGCTAGGCACTGTTTTTTAAAGAGCTGTACTAAAGTGGTTTCTAGCGGGAAGCGTCGGGCAGTTCCCCACACCGCCCCAGCGCCAACTGCATTTCAACCCCGGGGCAGCTCCTCCTGCTCTTAGAGAAAGCAGCAAGCGCAGGTACAGCGTGTGCCCCCTCCTGCTGCCATGCACTCAGGTGGATGGGCAGTCATGTATTATATTAAGAATTTTTAATGGATACAGCTCTAGGCAGGTGTCACCAGCTAAAAAAGCAGAGTTCCAGAGAGAGCAGGAGGGAGGATGAACCACATCTTCAGCAGCAGGCACAAGGCAGAGGTTTGACATTTCTGTTAACAGCAGCAAATTTGTATCTTGATTGGAGACGTATAATTGTCTTCCCAGGGAGATGGAAAGTGGCTGTGGCTCCCTGCCTCTCGGCCAAGCCCAATCACGCTGTGCTCTCACTGCTGCATGGTTTTGCTTTTTGCAGAGCTGTCCTTGGGCAGCGAGAAGGGAGCCCCTGCCATTACGCTCCCACAGCACCGCAGCTCTGGCACCCCACTCCTTTGGGCAGCTTTTGTGCAGAATCGGGAGGGAGATGGGTTTGTTCAGAGTGGGAAAATCCTGTGTCACTTCCAGACCACTGGACCCACCAAAGATGACGCTGGGGGTATCCAAAGTCTATGGCAGCAGTTTTACATATAGTGTTACAAAAGACTTTAGCAAACCTGATTTCCAGCGCTGTGACCAGAACAGCACAGGTAAAACGGGTTAAAAAGTGACGTGGGCTCCAGCCTGGGGATTTGTGTCTGGGTCTTACAGGAGTGACTTCAACTGCTACCCGGTGTCACAGCACAGCCAGCACAGCAGGGTGGGCTGAACAAGGACCTGGCTCTGCCGCCTGCGTGGCCCCACAGACCAGCCCGCACGGGAGCACAGGGAGAACGCACATGCCTTTCCTTTAAAGGCGATCCAGCCGCCGACCTCTGCCACCCAGTGGGAGTGACACTGGCACTGGCAGGAGCTGGTCGTGTCCAGCTGCTCCCCGTCCAGCCCACGCTCGCTGCACAGCCTGGTGCCACCAGCCAGCTCCTCTCCAGTGGCGATGCGTGCGGGTGCTGATGTGGGGCTGTGGGTGACGCAGCTGCAAGTGTCAGCTCTCCCACCTCCCTGCCCGGTGCACTGCCACGCCACCCAGCGCTTGGGACTGCCGGCAATCGGACTGGTTTATAGCCAGACCTGGTGACATCCAGTAAGCCAAGCGGAGCTGGGACAGGACACAAAGACCAGAGCTGTGGGCAGTGGCAACCTTGCGCTACCCTGGAGCAGGGGAACAGCAGGAGCAGAGCTGCTCTTACCCTGCAGCAGGCAAAGGATGCCCCACGTGCCTGCCAGGAGCTGGTTAAGAGCACAGCTTTGCTTCTGCTTGGCCCCAGTTTAGCCCTTCCTGCTGCGAGCTCCCTTCTCCTGGGGAGCGGGCAAGCTGTGTGCCCTCCAGTGAGCAGCTCTCTGCCTGGATTCACTGGGATTCATCTCACAGCACGTGAGCATCACGCCATGGGGTGCTGTGCAGCAGGACCAGCTTCCAGCATGCGTGCAACAGCATCTCAACATGCGTGCAACAGCCTCTCCCATCTCCCAGGGCAGGAGGGACCGCAGGGTGTTACAGCTGTGGTACGTTACAGACTTGATAAGCTGTCCCTCCCTGGTGTGCTGTGCTGCAGTGGGAAAGCAGGGATGGAGGAATGTGTCTAGCATGGAGGAAGTCTGTGGTGGTCCTTCATTCGCTCCATGGTGAGAAACCAGCCTTGTGATGGCTCCGTCCCCTGCACAGAAACATCAGTGGTCCCTGGTAGTTGGTTTTCGCCCTGCCCCGAGGACAGAGCTGGTGGCTGAAGTCCCGCTGCAGAGCGCTCAGGATGCTGAGCCTGAACTGGTGCGGATAAGTACCTGGGGTGTGATATTGTATGGTGGGCAGTGTGAAGAGCGGCGGGAGGGATCGATGCTGATGAACGCAGGGTGTCCTTCGCTCTGCCTTTCCCCGTGCAGGGGGGCACAGAGGTGATGGGGCAGCAGTTAGGGACCTGTCACTGTCACTTCGAGCAGCCCTCAGGGAGGCTTCGCAAAATGTCCTCCAGATTCTGCTTGTCAGCCCGGATCTCGGCCAAGTCGCTCTCAAATGCCTGGATCTTCTCCTGCTGCCGTGCTGCCTCTTGCTGCAGCAGGCTGAGCTGGCCGGCCAGGGCACCCGGTGTGGCCAGGCGCAGCCACAGCCGCTCCACCC